GTAAATAACCTTTTTCTCCTCATAAATCAAACATTTAATCTTAATACATTTTTCTACAAAAAAATTCTAAGTAGCTGTGGAAAACAAAGTAAGTGCTATTGCAGCAGTTCGTATAGCCTATTTCTTGGTAAATGGAAGCCCAAAGCAATTTAGATATTTGCATGTGGACAAATGGGAGTCTATATCAGGCATATCAAACACAAGGCCCACAATGTGGTTGGATCTGCCCCACAGGGCCATCCTGGAAAATGTAAGGGGCTGGTCTATGCTTTGGCCAGGTCTACCCAATGCAAAGAGGAAACATCAGACCCGTGTGGCTTCGGCCCGGTCTGCCAAATGCGAAGAGGAAACATGACAGCAGTTTGGGGAGTGGCATCAAGCTGGCCATGCCCATCCAGTAGGCCGCACCCACACCCACCCAGTCGGCCATACCCACCCAGCCCCACAAGGTCCATCAAAGCCCTGATGCAGCCATCAATGAAACTGAGATTGACATTGCTAGTCTATGTTCAAAGATTATTTCAAGATCGACTGCAAGATCTTTAGGCTGAATCAGCAATAGCCACTCCCAGAACAATTCCACCAAATCTCATCTATTAAACGAGTCACTGAGGCTATAATTGGCACGTGGTTTGTTGGTATTAGAAATAGGTTTCTCAAATCTTTGGGAAATCTCTCTTATCTTTAAATTCAGCTTATAGAGGAGATTGAATTTTTTTTTTTAAAAAAAAACCCTTCCGTAAATGTAACTGATTCCATAATGTTGCCAAGGAAACTGATACAGTACAGGTGTCCATGAAGAACCTAAAAGCAGTGGGGGTGGGGAACTGCTGGGCATTTGCAGGAGTTCGGGAGACCCTCTAGCTAATATTCTGCACAGTTCAGAGAACCCCCAAATCTCATTCCTGGCTGGCCTCGCCTGCCCTGCCCCTCTGTAGAGTCTGCATGCAACCCGTTTTGGATCCCAGGTAAATGCAGGACCCGCATGGGGGCATGTGGAGGGCAAAACATGGACCTCCCGGAAGTTTGGGAAGGCCGGAAATGGGCCCATTTCCAGCTCCCAGAGAGCCTACGGAGCCCAGGGAGGCTGTTTTTGCCTTCCCTGAGGCTCGAGGAAAGCCTCCGGAGCCCTGAGAGGGCAAAACTGCCCCCCCACACCATAGTGCAGGAGGCTGATTAGGCTACCCCCACCATGGCCATGCCCCCCCCCAAGCAATCAGGCAGAGAACCCATTGCTAAAATTTTTGAACCCCACCCCTGCCTAAAAGCTAAGCTTGACCTGACTTTACTATGCATGTTTGGACTTCTCCATGTTTCAAAGTCCTAGTCATTGATCTCCGTTGAAAATCAGTTTGACTGACAAGCAAGAGAGATAGAGGATTTTCAGAAATATTCCTTTCCTGCGTCAGAAACAAAAATATAAGCTATTGATCTATCAGATTCAACAAGGCCGTTGGATGATAGCAGGCCCCAGAATAAAGAGACATGAAACAAAATTTTAGATAGGATGATTTCAAAATGTATCAGAACTATTTGTACTCCTGCTGAGCCGTTGCTAATTGTGAGACATGATTTTGTAAGGTATGTAGCTTTATAAATATATTTGGACATAGAAGGATGAAATCACAATGAGAAGTAAGGAACTATAAGTATCTGATGGATAAAGGTTTGAGATGTACACAGGCACATTTGGAGAATGTGTTTCAGTAAGCAGGAACAAGGAAATAAGTTGTGAAATGTATGCAGAAAAATATAAAAATAATGTCTTGGGATGTGTTCAGGGCCAGTGGCCATGGCTACTCCTTGCCGGACTCAGCCATGTCAGTGGACTTCATTGCAATGGGTTGCTGATTTTAATGATGCCTATGTCTTAGCCGTGGTTCTGTGAATCCTAGGTAAGAAACTGCAAACAGATAGGTTTGTCTTCTTTTTTCTTTTTATTGTTCCTAGTACAGTAACCGGCAAGCATAGTTAACCTGAACAAGGTTAGCAGTTTGGAGTTTGGAGTGAGTTCCTTCATTAGTTAATACCATTTGACATATCTCTGGTGGAGCACACATGCTGCATAACTCTAATATGTAGCATATGACATACCACAGCATCCCATAATATTCTAAATATGCCTCAAAGGTGACTTTTCAAAAGGCAACTGGGCTTTGTTTTTGCTTGAAGATGTTTCGCTTCTCATCCAAGAAACTTTTTCAGTTCTGTAAACTCCAAGACAAGCATTTTCTCAAAGTTCCATTTTATTAGAGTTGTCGTATTGGCACATCTGGGATAACCCCAATCTGAGAGTTCCAGGTTCTCCCTTCTCAAAAGAAAATCAAAAATCCCTCCTCTGCACCCCCCAGTCCATCACATGGTCCAATCAAATATTGTCCCAACTGGAGACCTTCCTCCAAACACTCCTCTCCAGGTGCAGGCTCACTTGGCCTTGACTCTGTAAAAGAATGTTGTTGAGTCTAATCTTCTGCCTCTCTCTATGAAATTCCCCCTACCAAATTCCCAAGCACTAAATGTGGCAGCCTCCAAGCTTCCAAGTAAAATATGGCTTCCAGGCTGACAACAAAGGTGTATGAATAATTACTAGAAAGATAAATCCAATGTCTTTTCTTCTTAATGGCAGTACATAATATTTGATGTAAATTATGTAAACAGTATCCAAATTTAAGGAACATCTGGCTTAAAATATTTGTTCACTTACTCTCTAAACACTTTTTATTTTAATCCAGAAACTTCGATTTTCCTAGCTATGCTACTCTGGGTTTGGATCTTATTTACATTCATCCTTTAAAAATGTACTGTATTATCGTCTGCTTGTTAAGAATAATAAACATTAAAAAAATATGTATAACCTATGCGTGAGGGTAAAATGGCTGTCAATCATATCAGATAGCTAAAAGTGGGAGGGAAAATTTTTAGATATATTTGCGGCTTTGAGTTATTTACAGTATATAAATGAGGGGGAGTCCACAGTAGAGGAAGCCAGCATATATTATAGATAGTCCTTGATTTACAACCTCAATTAGGCCTAGAATTTCTGTTGTTAAGGAAGCCAGATAAACTGAGTCGCATTTCATTTATGTCTTCTTTTGCCAGATTGTTAAGTGAATTGCTGCAGTTAAGGAAATTGTGTGGATTTTAATAGCAATAGCACTTAAACTTACAGTAGATACCGCTTCATACACGTTCTAAGCAGTTTACAAAGTCAGCATATTGGCCTCAACAATCTGATTCCTTGTCTTACATTATAAGGAATCTAGTTATTCTGCAGTTTCACTACTAGGTAATAATTCATTTTTTAATGACTACTAATAAAGTGTCCCCTGCTATATTGTGAATTTTTAGGCTTTCTGCAAAATTTCCAAGTCACTTCAGCTCATTCCCTTTACATAGGACAGAACGCCTTCTTCCGCCTAGAAGAAAGAAAACTTTTGTGGGATGGTGAATATGGCAGCAGTAGGTAACGTTACCAGCAAAAGTGATAATCCCTCTCTCACATTCTTAATACATTACTATGTCTCATTACTTTTACATTGCTGGTCGTCATTGACTTCCAACTGGCCACTGAATGAAGTTACAATGTCCTCACCAGAGCTGCTTATCACGTGGTTTCAGAGTTAAGGTAGCCAGGCACAGATCTTGTGAACATGTGATTGTATTTTGGGCACTTGGCAACTGACTCACCTTTGTTGCTCTTTGCAGCATCCCATTACTATGTCTCATTACTTTTACATTGCTGGTTCTTCTACCAGATTTTATTCTGTTAACTGGATGTATAGTGCTTATTGGTTCCTCTTTGGCTTTTTAAAAGAATTCATTCAATCACAGTTTCTAATAGAGTATTTATGAAGTTTCTGCACTTAGAAGATTTGATAGATGGATCAGTGGGATTTGCCATGCTGTGTTGGAGAGAGGGGAAGCAACACCCGCCAGCCTTTTTATCCACCTTGCCATATTCATTATTAAAATAATGAATTTAATTTGATGGACATTTGGCTCAAATGGATATCCATTCCATCCTATTAATCCAATACATAATTTTTACTCTAGAGGTTGTCATTGACTTCCAACTGGCCACTGAATGAAGTTACAATGTGCAGCAGCGAATCCACATCTAACAGCCTGGGCATATGCCAAAGCCTCACATAGGCAAAGGAGTTTTGATATATGCCAAGCCTCACATAGGCAAAGGAGTTTCGATACCTGCAAGACCTCACGTAGGCTGAAAGCAGGTATCAGGAACAAAAGGATGCTGCCCACCTTGGGCTACTGGCTGGACTGCAGGCGCGGATTGGTTACTTTGTATCCCTTAAGCACTGTGATTGGGCGCTACAATGTATCCACTGAGACCCCCCACTCTTTTAACATGTAAAGTAGACTGAACTTTCTCTTTTGTGACGTTTAACAATGTGTGTTCAATACAAGAGATTCCCTGAGCGCGTGTTCGGGGCTGCTCATCCAAGACTGAACCGGCTTGGTCTCTTTCTTGATGCATTGGACTCAAGGAGAAGCCCTCCTAATGCGGAGCAAAGCCGCACAATGTCCTCACCAGAGCTGCTTATCACGTGGTTTCAGAGTTAAGGTAGCCAGGCACAGATCTTGTGAACATGTGATTGTATTTTGGGCACTTGGCAACTGACTCACCTTTATTGCTCTTTGCAGCATCCCATCATCCCATGACCACAATTTGCAACTTTTTTGTTTGCCAGCTTTCACTTTCAGTTTCCAGCAAAAAAAAATGCTCATTGGGGAAAATGGATTTCCTTAACAACCACATGTCCACCTAATGACCATCATAATAACTATCATATCATAGAACCTGGTCACATGATATCTCGACTTATGAGCGCAAAAACATAAGACTGTCATTCTGGGCTTGATTACAGACAAGGACTACCCAAAATACAATTTGGGTGTAACTGATGAATTTCAGAGACATGAGAGCTAAGTAATATAAAGCAGCGGTCCCCACCTTTTGACCACATGGATTTGGTGGCGGTGGTGGGGGGAAGGGAAAGGTTTGTGTCTCAGTCTAATCCCGTTCATGTCTAATCTAATCCTGTTCAAATAAAGCTTTGGATGCTCATCCTCCATTTGTGGGGCCCAATTCCCAACGGACCATAGACTGGTACGGGGCTGCAGACCAGGCCTTGGGGACTCCTGATGTAAAGAGTCTATCACCATATCAGCTGTTGATAAATATGAAACCAATGGAATCAAATGCTCTTTTATTTCAATTTTGATTACATGAAAGACTGCAGCAAAATAAGAATTAAAGTATATATGCTAAATATCATTTGTAGATATTTGAGTTACATAAAATGAAATTTGGTTAAACGATGGTCACAAAAAATAGGTATGTGTCCTCATTCTAGCACTGTGCACATTTGCCATTATAAGCTTAGCAGAGGCATCTACAACTACTCATGACGTCATTCGAATGATAAAACATGATGTCCCGATGGAAGCTGAGCTGACTGTACTTGTATCATCCCATGGAAATGTATACTGGACAAATACATAGTTACATCTGTGTTGTAATACATCTGATTCATGTTTAACAGCTTCTGCCCACAGCCCACATTCCTATATAAGCAAAGCAATTTTGCGGGATTTATCTACCATTCAGAACTCTTGTACTAAAAACTTATTTTCTTGAATTGATTAAAAATAAGTCTGGAAAGAGAGGATTAAAACCCAGCATTGTGGACTATTGTAAAGGAACTCTCTCTACCCTAATTACAGAGAAGTTTATAAGTGTGATAGTGAAAGTTCAGTATCATGTGGTTTAAACAAATCTGATGAGGAATTAAGGGTCTGAGCCATTGTACCTACATATGCTGGATGCACCCATTACGGAGAGGAATATCTACCAATGACCACGATGCTGTTTGTAGATCGTTCGGTAATAAAATAGAGGAAGGGATGGTCAGCTGTGAATTTTAATGGAGGCTGTGCACTCTTAAATACTCTTATTACACCAGTGGCAGCAGCTGCCTCAGTGCCTTCTTCATTGACTTCTAAGAATGCTTTGTGAATAACTTCAGATAGGGCTAAATCTTTGTTAGTTGACATTCTGGAGAAGTCTGCCTTGCCCTCATCAAATGCGTCCGTCATTCCCATGCTTCTCAGAACAGGCTTCAGATCATATTTTTCTTCCAATTTAAATTTGGGAAAGGAGAGTTCAATTTCTCTTGGGAACATCTTCTCTGGATTGATCCAGTCCATGAGTTTCTCATATGTAATTTCTCTCTCCAGCTAAAAGAAGATGAAAAGCATTAAAGGAGATAAAATCCTGGTTATATGACATTATGACATATCCTGATACCCACACAAGTATGATGCAGGTATTAACAATGACAGAAAAATCCTGCAATAATCCTAGAACATTAGGAAAGATAATTAAGTCACAAAAATAGTGTAGACCTCTTGGACCCAGCAGAAAAAGGAGGAATATAAATATAGCTTTATATTCAAAGTATACCAATTTCTAACTCAATCACATTCTTTAACAAACATGTGGAATATAAGCCAAATCCACCTGGCAAAGTCACTACTTTTAGAATTATTTATCCAACGGCACAGATAAATGTATATATATTGTATCAGAGAAAACTTGCATGCTGTTAAGAAATGTTTTTATAATTTATTCATGTTTGTATTAAATTTTATACCAATTTTATTCCAGAAAACCCGATAATTTACAATTATGCTAAAAACTAAAAGAAATGCTAAAAGAAAAGTAAATAACGAGACAGAGTTTTGTATAATGGTTAATAGCACTGGGTTATAAATCATCACTTCGATATGAATGACGAGATTTGGTGATTTGGGGCCAGTCATGCTCTCTTAGTCCTAGGAAGGAGGCAAGGGCAAGCAACTTCTGAAAACGTTGCCAGATAAACTACTTGGATTTGTCCTGACAGTTGACAGAACAAAACCTTACTTGAAGGCACAAACCCACACAAAAAAATTCCTCAGCTATATGAACTGCTTTATTCTTTCCTTCAAGCTATGAATCTTGGTAGCTATTTCAACGTGAAACAGTGTAAATTGAAGAATCAAAAACTGAATCACTTACATCTTAGTAATGTCAGAAGAAATACTGTACATTATGGGCAACCTTATCAACTGCCTCGTACACATCGGCTACTGATGGAATCACCCCGTGTATACAATACTTTGAAATACAAATGCATTCACTGGTTTTCTTTAGACTTTGGGGTTGGGTTTCTTTTTGCATCTTTTCAAAATAAGGGAAAATACAAGTCAGTAGCTTGTATTAAGCTTCAGTATTAAAAAAGACAGTGTACAGTTAGTATCAGAGGGGGTTTCAGAAGGTCAAGGGCTTAAATCCTGTTTCATGAAGAAAGACTCACCTTTTCCAATCCAGTAGAGTTATCTGCAATCTCATCAGGGAGCAGAATGATCATGCTCAACTCATTATCACCAAATGGAATCTCAAGAACAGAAGTCTGATAAGCCGAAATGTGGGCCATATTATATTTTGCTTTCTTGAACATCATCTGTACTGTTTTGCTTTCATTCTACAAGTGGGAAAAATGTATCTTTGAAGAAATCTTACAAATAAATAGGAAATACAAATAATTCTATCATGTATTTAGCCCCAGGGCTCCCCCCCCCCGCTTAAATCTTTCATCTTTTGCTTTGATTTTTTAAACCAAACTGAGAATTTATATAAGCATTTATCATGTCTCAGCCATCCATCATATTTTCCAGTCTTTATACGTCATGATAATGTGCTTTTTGCAGATTTGAATAATTTTAGAATATTAAGAATTAGGTTTTAAAAAACAGACAAAAATTATGACTTTTAGAAAGATGAAATATTAATTATGTGAGCAAAAGAATGCAATGAAGCACAGGTCAGTGGTTTTCATCAGCAGTTTTCTCAAATGAACAAATGTTTATAATATCAAAACTAACCTTCTTTGTGGACAGCAACACAGAAAGATATTGCGCCTGTTCCTCCTCCATCAAATACTCCCAGGTGATAATACATAATACCCAATGGCTACTAGGACACAGCATCCACCGGAAGAAAACACACACCAACCACTACTTAAACACGCAATCCCATCACCACCCTGCACAGATCAACTCCCTAGCCAAGACCCTCATCTGCAGAACCAAACGCCTAGCCAACAAAGACCACCTGAGAACAGAATTACACACCCTCACTAACGTATTAATTTCCAACGGATTCTAAAGAAACACAATTACCAACCTAATCCTAAGGGAGACACCCCCCAAAAACCGAGACACAGAACGGGACAATGGTATCACCCTCCTCCCCTACATCAAAGGCACCACAGATAAAATCAGCAAAATTCTCCACAAACACAATATCAGGACAGCCTTCGGCACTGACCAAAACATAGTCAACATCCTAAGAAGCCCCAAGGACAAGATCCAGCTAGAAAACCAAGGAGTTTATGAAATACCATGCAACAATTGCCCAGCCACATACATTGGACAAACCAACGGAAGAATAAATGCACGCATCGCAGCACACAAGAACGCAGTCAGAAAAGAAGAAAATACTTCCTTTTCCAGCCCCTTAAAGCCACAAGACATGAAATTAATTTTGAGGGAACCAAATTAATCTCTAATACTGAACACTTCAACAAGAGAATAATCAGGGAAGCTATCGAAATAGAGGAACACCCCCATAACATGAATAAACGGGATAATACCTCCTGCCTACCAGACATCTGGAAACTAGCCCTTATCAACAAACAAGTCCCAGCCACGAAAACCAACACTGGACCCAAAACAACACATGACACTACCACCAATCTCCCTTACCAGATTCAAACCCACACCCATCCCATAGACAAAAGGCAACCACTGTCCAGAAACCAAACCATGGCTGCATCACCAGCTGCCACACACCCCAACCCCCAAACTAAGCAAACTGACACACGCCATGAACACATAGCCAGACCTCAAACTCGGAGCCAAACCAAAACCCAGAACGTTACATCACAGCCACTCGCTCAGGATATCACATCACGGAACTCAGGAGGTTACACCACAAAACCTCAGGATGTTACAACACAGCCAGTGACCCAGGAGCTTACAGCACAAGACCTAGGAGATCACAATGATAGAACTCAGAAGGTAAACACACAGCAAGGTCATTACAATACAGGAGGCTGATAGACACACAGCCAGTACCTCAGCCACACAGGCTCTTACAAAAAAGCCAACCAATCTGCAAAAATCAACTCCATCAACCAATCAAGAAATAGCAACGCAGCCAACCAGCCCGCTTACAACAGAGCCAGCACACGGCACCTCCCCAACCAGTATTTATAGAGAGACGGCAGCTCCTATCACATTTTGCTTGCACAAGCATGAAGCCGAAAGCACCAGCCTGAAGATGGCAAGTGGGACCTCATTGAAATGTCGCCAAGATCCTCTCAATCTTACACGGGAAAAGACCCAAACACGCCAAGACCTGCATACCTGTACCCGTGAAAATCTACGAAAACAAATACATAATAGATCCGTATACACAGCAAATATATTCACTAATCCCTCCGTAATTATTGTGGTTAATCCCATAGGATTAGTGGGAGTGGTGCTGAACTAGAAATCCCTGTGCAAAGTTTCAGTGACTGAAAAGTCTGAATGTCTACACACAAACTCTGAAGGACTCAAGATATTCATGATTCATCCATTTCCATGAAGATTAATAAAATGTATGGAGGAAGCAATTTCTTTGCTATAGGAATGTTTCAAATTAATTTCAGACTTACTTCAGAGGTATACAAAATAACACGATTTAAAATACTCAGAATGTCTTTTTTACTGTGTTAATAAATACCTTGTTAATCCAGAATGGCTTTTCCGATGTGAGATCTTTGTTGAATTTATCTGCCCAGTTTCCCTTGAAATAGATAGCATTCACCGAAACCAGTTTTGTATGCGAATCAATTATTCCTGGGCCAAGCAGATCCTGAATTTTTCCTTTGAAAGTTTTTTTTTTAAAGAAACAGCTTTAATTGATACATAAGATGCATTATTTTTTAACATCTCTCTCTCTTTCTCTCTTTCTCTGTCTCTCATAATTTCAATTTAATAGTTAGATTTCTCTCTTCAGGGGCTCAAAGAGAGTTCCTCTGACTTAAGATGGCATATAGCTTTTGCTTCCTTAGGGCCAGTCCAACCTCCCTCCCTCCTACCCTTAACATTGATATAATTGTCCATCTTTTTTCATTATTTAGTAAGGTTGCCACACACAAACACACACAAGTTAAACAAGAGGCAAGTTAAATAACTGAAATCTGCTCAGATATGTCCAGTGATAAAACCAAAAATCTATTCTTGGCTAGAATTTCATCTCAGGTTTGATGGGCTTCGATGTAGTCTGTTTCTCTCACATGCACACACAACACTGCATGTGTTACTGAATGCAGCTACTAATTAACTCTTATTATCGTTCTCACCCGATGTTTTTTCTTCTACCCAGGCATTTATATGTCTTCTCGAATCTTCTGAAGCTTGTTTGAAGTTAAGTTTCTCCAGACCTGCATTGTAGAATTTCTCAGTGGATTCTATAAATGACTTAAGAAACAATGACATCTCAACAACAGAAGCAGTAATAAAGACAAGAATGGATTTTGTCTCATTTTTCTATGAACTAACAATCTGGAAACATTATTTATTATGCTGAATGCTTCCCTAAAACCAACCAATGCCATTGGATAGTTAATACAGCCTAGAAAAAGTATACCAGATATTAGGAACTAGTACAGAATTAACGTTAAGATAGCATAGTTTATTCAAAAATATATCTTGAAGTTATAGCTCATATGGTTCTATTTATGACTTTTATTTGAAAGTTCTTTATTCAGGAACATTCTGTTGTGTGGTCCTGTAACATTTCCAGTTAAAGCAGCTACACTTTGTCATTTCCCCTCTGGATAACTCAATGGACCAAATAAAATTATAGGAATATTCAATACTTTATTAGACCAAACTGCAATTGCAAACATTAGAACACAGAGCATTTATGGCTGTTTCCAGCCAGTTCTCCAGCAAGAAAATCATATGATGTTTCTCCAAAGAACTGGTTGACTAGACTGAGACTATAATTGGCACGTAGTTTATTGATATCAGATATAAATTTCCCAGATCTTTGGTGAACCTCTTCATCTTTGGATACAGAGAGCACCTATAAGATGATATATGGTTAATCAAATTAACTTTTAACATCAATTCAAAATGTAATTTAACAATAGCAGACCTTGGAAAACCTTACACACTTCAAACAATCTCTACATATTTTGGAGCTAATTTTTTTTAAGGATTACCTGCAGATGTGTAGCTTTTAAAAAATTAATGGTTAATGAAAGACAAACAGTTTGGACCTAGTTAATATTTGGGTAATGCTTGAAGCCCAAGCTTACAGAGGAGGCTGAATTAAAAAAAAAAAACCTTCCTTAAAAGCAACTGATTCCCTACTGTTGCCAAGAAAACTGAGTATGGGTGTCCCTAAAGTCCCTAAATGTTAAGCTTGACCTGATTTTACTGTGCATGTCTGGACCTCTCCATGTTTGTAAGTCCTAGTCTTTGATCTCCTTTGAAAATCAATTCGACTGACAAGCAAGAGAGATAGAGAATTTTCTGAAATGTTCCTTTCCTGGAAAAATAGATTTCTAAATCACAAAGAGCAATCCTTCCATGCAGAAGATATTTTTTAAAGCAAAAGGTACATTCTTGTACTTGCTATAGGAGCCATGTTTAAAACAGTGCCGCCTTTTCTGTCACAATATTTGCTCTCTGAAACCATTTTGCCTCAGAGATTCAAGTTCCGCTGACTATGCCATCCTTCAAAAGGGCCTTGAAGAACTGGCTTTTTCCCCTAGGCGCAGAGCTAAGAAGCATCCACCTTGAGTGGATTCTGTTGGGTAGGCCTGTATCATTGTCTCCTTTTTGTTTTTTTATTGTATTAGACCTACTTTTAATTCATAATGACTCTGGGAGGTCTCTATATTTGAAAAATAAATAAATGCTATGGGTATCCTGGATTGAAGCACAAATATTTGCCAGAACCAAGATTCGGTGTCCATCTCTCCATTCCCCAAGTTCGGAGTTCCTTATATTTAAAAGAAAATGAAATCAATTTTAGGACTTAAACTGGAGGTGGTATCTTTCCTACCACAGCATATCTGATTTTGGGGTAATTCTGCTGAAGGGTATCTCTAAGATCCACAAAATGGTTTTTCAAACCCTGGGACTTCAAATTAAGGACTTGTATCCAAAATAATACTATTTGCTAAGAGCCATGGTGGCGCAGTGGTTAGAATGCAGTATTGCAGGCTAACTCACTGCTCACGTCAGGAGTTCGATTCTGAACGGCTCAAGGTTGATTCAGCCTTCCATCTTTCCGAGGTTGGTAAAATGATGAGCCAGATTGCTGAGGGCAATATGCTGACTCTGTAAACCGCTTAGAGAGGGCTGTAAGACATTGGGAAGTGGTATATAAATCTTCATGCTATTTCTATTTCCATAATTAGCTACTGCCATAATGGCTTTGAAGAAGTCAAGCACAATCCCTATCAGACTTCCTATGCATGCTGTTTACATTCCAAGCAACTAGGAGCTGCTCCCATCCTCATGCAAACAGAATCCCAAATCTGGATGAGAATGGGGAGTAGAGTTAAAGAATCTCGATAACATTGGCATCTCTTGCGCTAGCTGCATTTTTCAAAAGCTAAGTGGAAAGTTGGCAACTGCACAAACTGCATCATCTTAGGAGTGTAGCCAGGTTGAGGTGATGGGTGTACTTGGAACTTTTTAGAACAAATGATAGATTAGCCACCCACAGTTGCATGAGTGCAAAATGGACATCATGTGAATTTAATAAGTAAATAACATAGATCTTCTCATAATTGGCTAGCAAGGGTGGGGACACAGCCAACCCTTTTCTTCCCTTTTTGATAAAATGTATCTTGATATACCTTTAATATCTGAGCTTCTGTGTTATTTCTGGCACCCAACAAGACCATAAGCAGCGAAGAAGATATAGTGAAAGGAGAACAAACCACGTTGTCGGAAGGATCATTTGCACTAAGCTCTTTGAAGAAGTTGAGGGCAAACTTGGTGTTTGCCTCAAAACGGCTGCCCATGTTTTCGAGCCTGGAGAACAAATATAGTACGATAAACCATAGATTAACTCTTAGATAATGAGATAACCAAAAAACATCCCACGCCCACAACTATTTTTTATTCTACTTGACCAATTATTCTACTTGCTTTAAAGAATGTGACTTATAGAACCTAGAGGACAAAATATAAGGGAAGTATGAGGCCCACTTCCAGATTCATATATAATTCCAAAAATGAAAACATCTGCTGATTGTGAAAAGGAGGACACTACAGATTCCTAAAGACAAAAGTTGAAGGTATGCACAGAAATATGATTTGCTTATTCTCCTTCCATATCAGAAAGAAATACCAATCCTAAGCAACAGTCAGGCCAGCTTGTATCAGTGAGAGTAGGAAAGCAGTAACCTCATTAAGTTTTTCATGCTGCTAAATTTTGGAGGGTGCTCCCCCATTCAATGCAATGATAGAGCAGTCCTGTCAGGACACTGGGATGGAGAATCCCAACTAGACAGCAGGTCATAAATTGTCAATCAGCCCTAAGGCAGTACTATGTCAATCTCACCTGTGGCATCTGCAGGAATTAGAACAAGACAGAGAGAAAAATACAATGTTTGTACCTTGAAGTGGTCATGTTCTGAGCTGCTAGGGTAGTTCCTGGAGATGTCTGGCTGGAGAGAAACACTCACCAATCTGCAATAAAATCCTGGAAGAAGCAAAATGAATATTTTGTGGGTACTCTCCTTCCTAGTTTGATTCAACAACCTCCAGGCACTCCCCCTATCAATGGGCGATGGAGGTCATTGGTTAGACAAGAAAGAGGCTGGAAGGGCAGGATCTGGGGTGTAGAGGTAGATGTTCAGGACTATCTCTTTAAAATTCCTGGGAGGGGCCCTTCCAACACTCACATTCTTCCTTGGGGCCCTATAAAGAGAATACACACCATTGCAACATAATCTCTAGCTATCTTAATAAACCTATTCTATAGTTTGCAGCAGCCCACAGGCCACATGCATCACGCACAGGCCAAACCCACCCCAGCTCCGCAAAGGGAAAAAATGTCACGAAATGTCACATGACGGCAACGTGATGCCGCTATTTTGACACCCGTGATGTAGAAGCTCAGAACATGGGTCTCAGTGCGCTGAAGAATCTAAACTCCAAGTCTGAAGGCACAATGAGAGGGCTGTGGTGAATAACCTTTTTCTCCTCCTAATTAGACATTTAATCCTAATACATTTTTCTAAAAAAACACCCCAACCTAACTAGTTGTGGAAAACAAAGTAAGTGCTACTGCAGCAGTTCTTATAGCCTGTTTAGATATTTACATGTGGACAAATTGCATTCTATGTGCAAAGATTATTTCAAAATTGATTGCATGTTTCCCTCTTTAGGCTGAATCAGCGATTGCCAGACCCAGAACAGTTTATATGCAGTAGGCTGTTCACTGAATATGGGTGTAGCCAAATCAATTAGATTTGCATTGAAAAGATGGAATTCTTTCTGAAATTTGAGTGCTACACCAGTTCACTAATTCAAACGCAGCTGCTTTGTGTGGCACAGCAGATTGCCCCGTGTCTGCTGCTGAAGCGATAGGGAGAGTGCAGGATTGCAGAAGGTGAGTCATAAAGCCTCTGAGCCTGCACAGTGTGCGTTTGGCCAGGGCACACACAAAGTGTGCACGCGCAAAGTGCGCCCACCAAGCCACGCCCACTGAACCAGTGGTAAACTATTTTGAAATGCACCCACTGGTCCCCATGCTTTTGTTTAGGAGGTTAGATTGGTTGATTTCTGACATCTGTTCCTGGAATGCAAAAGATTTCATCTTGGCTAAAGTTTGACTCCTTTGTACAGAGAGAGGGTTAGTCTTCACACTCCCAGTCACATTTGAATGAATATTTTGTTTATGCTCAGATGCACATACACACGTAAAAGCACATGCACTCATGTTAGCTGTAAATGTCAGCAAATCCATTAGCATGGTGTGCTTGGCACAAACAGAACCTAAATCAGAAAGGTAGACTCTACTCTTTATTTATATACACAAGCAAAGAGGACACTTCATCCAAGGGAGGAGTAGCTTAGAAAGGTAGAGAATCACTTTATATACAATTCAAAAATACTGAGTTTGGAGTGTGTTCTGTAACTGAACTGAAGAAGTTTCTTGGATGAGAAATGAAACATCTTCAAAGCAAAACAAAGCCCAGTTGCCTTTTGAAAAAGCACTTTTGAGACAACCATCCCCTGGATGACTGAGAATCTCCATAGACATTCTTAATATGACTGTAGGAGATGAACAGGCTCAGCTGGAAGGTGTAGTTAAACACACCATCAGTTTAGAGTCTCAAGGGACCCAAGTCTAGTTCCCCATGAATTTCACTGATCCTTATTCTAGCGCCAATTTAGCTTGGTCACTGCATAGCCACGAGGGACCCAAGTCCAACCCCTCTTGAATTCCATTGACCCTTTTCTAGCACCAATGTAGCTTTACATTCTTGCGTATACATGGCAAAAATAACCTCTTCCGTATACATGGCAAAAATAACCTCTTCAATTCCTGTTCCTGATTATTTGTACCTAACATCAACCTTGTTAATGCTCATCTTCATATTCAGGAGATGTGGTCTTTATATCATAATGAGTTGGCAAGTGTGAAAAGGGAACTTCACGAAGACAGTAGTGTCACTCAAACAGGAAAAGCCAAAGGGGAATATCAGGCCAGCCATAAAACAAACTTACATAGGAAAAGGAATCAAACAAAAGGTATTAAAGAATCCCTAGAGACAAAAGCCTAAGTAATTAAGAAAACTAGACAAATAAAAAAAGGAAACCCTTACGAACACAAGACATACCAAATAAGCAAAACAAACAGACAAAAGACACAAAAATAAATAAATTACAAAAGAGACAGACAGGAGATTGCCACAAGACAAATATGAAAAATCCATTATAAAGATAAAAGAGATTAGGAAAAAAACTGATAATAATACCACCCTGCGGAGTTTGCCTTCTGCATCCCGTGGAGTTTGCCCTCCGGCAGGAATAAAGACAAACTCAAACAGGATTTGACACATTAAGCACAAATACAAACATTCACACAAAATCGACTCACAAAGGGAGAAAAGGGTATAAAAAACTAGGGACTTACCATAAGAAGCTAGCTAGCCCAGGAACGCAGACTTCTCGCTGTCCCTCACCTTCCTGAAAAATAAAAAGATCCAGCTTTCAAGCAGTTGTCTGTATCCTTGCGGCGGAGCTCTCCCAGTAGGAAAATTGAATCCTCGAAGGAAAGGCATTTTGACCCCTTTCAACACAAGTAATGAAAGTCAATATCCTGGATGGTTTGAACCAGTTCTCTTGGCAACGTGTACTTAGCTTTCTATGTTCCTTCAAAAATCAGAAACATTTATCGAAGAAACTCCTAGTGATTGAAAATATGAACCAAATCCCTCCTCCCCATGCTGTTGCCATCACACACAAAGTTTTCCAGTGCAATACAGCTAAAAATAATTCTAGAATAAAGTCATTTCTCACAATTGATTGAAAACAACAACTTTAAAGCAACAATTACTGGGTCTGGTTTGGTTCTTCCTGTATTTAAAAAAAAAAGACTGATACATTGTCAAAAATAAGGAACAGTATTGTGAGAAATAGAACAAAACAGTAAATAGATAGTCATGCGCTATGTATATATAAATTTTATTTATATACAGTATTTATGGCAAAAGTACTCTCTTCCTTTATTTTTTGGCTTGGTTACACAGCCTATGGAAAAAAATAGTCCTTTATGTTGGGTAGAAATGTAGCACATGACAACAAAGTTGTAAGAATAATTACTGGAAAGATAAATACAATGTCTTTTCTTCTTAGCGGCAGTACATAATATTTGATATAAATTATGTAAACAGTATCCAAATTTAAGGAACATTTGGCTTAAAATGTTTGCTCACTTACTGTCGAAACACATTTTATTTTAATCCTGAAACTTGAAAACCCTTAGATTTTCCTAGCTATGCTTCCCTGGATTTACATTTCATCTTTTAAAAATGTATTATTGTTTGCATGTCAAGAATAGTTAACTTTGTTAAAAAAAAAAGTATAATCTATGTATCAGAGTGAAATGGCTGTCAATCGGAGGTAGTATTGAGCCAGTTCTGATAGGTTCTGGAGAACTGGTAGCGGAAATTTTGAGAAGTTTGGAGAACTGATAAATACCACTTCTGGTTCACCTCGCCCCATCTATTCACTGCCTCCTGAGTCCCAGCTGATTGGCTGATTGTTGCCCTGCACAGGAGAACAGAGCTGGAAAGCAGGTTAGAGGGGTGGGGAGTGAATGGGGATTTTACAGTATTCTTTCCCTGGAGTGAGGTGGAAATGGGGATTTTACAGTGTTCTTCTGCCATGCCCACCAAGCCATCCCCACCAAGCCACACCACACCCACCAAGTCACAACACGCCCACCAAACCACGCCCATAGAACCAGCAGTAGAAAATAGTAAATACCACCACTGCTGTCAATCATACTAAATTGCAAAAAGCAGGAGGGAGAAAAATAAGGAATGTTCGCTATTTTGAGTTATATATATAAATAAGGGGGAATCAGCAATAGAAGAAAGTCAGCATATAGGTAGTCCTTGACTTACAACCTCAATTAGATTCAGAATTTCCATTGTTGAGGAAGGCAGTTAAGCATTTGATTTTACATCTTCTTTCCCCAGATTGTTAAGGGAGTTGCTGCAGTTCTTAATTGAATCATATAGTTGTTAGCAGCAATAGCAATAGCACTTAAATTTGTATACCACTTCATAGTGCTTTACAGAACTCTCTAAATGGTTTACAGCAGGGGTGTCAAACTCACGGCGCATGGGCCAGACGCTTCACAAGTTGGCCACATCCATCCCCGGTTTAGCGAAGTGGAAAAAAGTCATGATACAACACATGACAACAATAAGACCTTGCAAGTTTGACACTCCTGGTTTACAGAGTCAACATATTGCCCTCAACAATCTGAGTCCTCATTTTACCAGAAGGATGGAAGGCTTGAGCTGATCAGGATCGAATTCCTGGCAGTGGGCAGAATTAGCCTGCAATATTACATTCTAATCACTGTGCCACCATGGCTCCTGTTAAGCAAATCTGGCTTCCTCCACTGATTCAGCTTGTTGGAGGTCAGAAGGGAAGGTTATAAATGGTGATCGCAGGACCTCAAGATACTGCAACCCCATAAATCCATGTCAGTTGCCAAGTGCCTGAATTTTGACCAGGAGACCATGGGGATGCTGCAGCGGTCATAAGTGTGAGAACAAGTTGTAATGCAAGCCATTTTTGTCACTGCTGTTGTAACTTACAACATTTGTAAGTTGAGGATTACTTGTAGTTATTGAATTGTTTTCATCCCCAAACCATGCACCTTTTTCTTTGCCCTCTAACTAAACAAATATAATGAATTGAAACAAAAAATAACTAAACATTTTAGAATAGCACAAAAAACAAATAAGGCTTCTGGCATTGAAGCCTGTAACAAAGAAACACCTAGCACAGGTATTAAAAAATGCCAAAACTGTCATTTATTGATAACATTTAAGTATTTATGAAATTTATGTATTTATTTATGAAATTTATGAATTTATTTACTTTAGAAGTGTTTCTGCCACTATCTCTTGTACCCCAAAACAATTATATCAAATATAAATGCCAGTTCACAGTAAGAAGAAAATCGATGTACAACATAGCTGCGGTTATAATTGAATAACT